GACTTGACTTGATTGACAGTAAAATTGCCAATATGCTTGTGAACTCAGGTATGTTCTTACTGTCAGCTGTTCAGAATGTAAAAGCTTAATAGCTACCAAAAAAAAAAGTTTTGAGCTGAGCATTTTTATTGTTTTTTAGGAAGCAAGCACTGGAAGTGTAAGTAGTTTTGAAGACTACAGTCCCTGTCCTAGCACACCTATAGAACATGTTTACCGCAGGCAACATTCCAACTCAAATAATATAGGAGAAGTTGGAATGCACTGGAAACTTATTCCAATTACAGGTAAGATGGGTTTAACTCTAATGTTGCTACAAATAGGGAATGAAAACATGTTCTAAAGGTTTCTGTCTTTCATAGATCCCATTCTTGGGTCACATGTTGGTACACAAGTGTGTATATATAGCCTATGTAGTTGTTTTTGATATTTGATTAATACAGAAATCTGCTGGATGAAAACAGATACTGGTGGAGAATATTGCTTTGGGTACATACTGACATAATTTAGGAATGTGAATGCTTGAGTATTTATCTGGTAAGGTACATAACTGTTTTGAATTCAGTGTGTGAATTTGCTAAGTTCTCCTGAAAGATTGGACGGGTGGATAATTGCAACTTGTAATCCAGAAAAATAATGAAAAATGCGTTCTCCTTATAGAACATAGTCTATTTCTTATTGCATCAAGCTCTTCTACTGGAAGTGATTCAAAGTCTTTATCTAAACAGTTAAATCTTAAATGATCTTACAGAAGAAGTTTCTTGTTCTACTTCTTGATGAGTCAACAGTGTCAAGTCTTGGGAGAGCATAAAAGCATGGATTTGAAGGATGTGGAAACTGGGCTGTAAGAACAGTCATGAAGAGCTCTAAATTCAAGGCTACAAATCAAGTTGTCTTATGACTAAATCCAGATGGAATTTGTTAACTGCATTCTCTGAGTAAAAACTTGCTGATTTCTGATCATGTTCCAGGAATGCTGGAATCTGTCTCTTGGACGCTTCTGATCTCCATCCAGTTGTGTAGTTCAGCAGCTCTTTTTTGTTTGTTTGGCTGAGAAGGGAAGAGGGCAGGGGAAACAGGTTTCCCATCACAGGATTCATAGGCCTTTCAACGAAATGAGAGGGTAGTTCTGGATAATGTTTTCTGCACTTTCTTTAAGGGCTAAACATCAAAAATCTGTTCTGATATTTTGCTAACGTAAAGAGTATGGAGACTGTAAAGTTGTTTGGATAGGACATTATTTCTTTTACTCCTGGAGGAAATGGCCACTGTGCATATAGATGAAGATATGGTTGCTGAGAGAACTAGTGAAGTGGATGATTAAGCATCTAAAAACTGTAATACATCACAGACGCTGGATGTGGGAGTTCTTGCAAGGGTTTGTCAATTGACTGACGTTGCACAGTCATCTGTGAGACTATAAATCTTACTAGAAAAAAAGGTCTCTGAAGTCTTCTGAGAGGGAGAAGTACTGTCCTCTAGAGATGAAAGAAATTGTCTTGAGCATCATTGGATTTCTTGAGTTCCTACGAGGTCAGTTCTTCAAATTAGCTCTTGCTACAATAGGTATTTACTAGCTCTGCACTATGATCATGCAAAAGGTGCTATATAAATACCAAGAAAGTCTACAAATGCTAACTGCTGCTGCCCTTCAGGAGGGGCAGGAAGAGTTCAAGAGGATCAGCTGTAATAATATGAAGATAAAGAGAAGAGTGGGTGGGACAGTTTGCGTATGTCATTACCGCCTGAACTACTGAGCAGCTTGTATTTGCACCTGGCATTGAATTTCATGAGAAAATTAGATCAGTAATATGCTATTCAGCAAGGGGACTCATTTTATTGAAGTACATCAAGGCAGCTGTAGGATAGTCAAAAGAGCCTTTAATATTTTGGGCTACTGGCACTTGATTTTTACTGGGCATATCTTTCTGTATAGTATCTTCTAGAGGGCTTTGAATTTTTATTCTAGGGAATTAAGATCAATGCAGTAACAGAATTTAAAGGAAGCTTTGTTCTTTTCTGAAACCGATTGCTTTCTAAATCTGATAGCTTCTCCATGTCTTTTTTTTTTTTTTTTTTTAGCAAGGTAGCTATAGAAAGGAATTTGGAGAACATCAATCTTTCTTTTTCATCTCTGCACAATTGCAGGAAGGCAAATTACCTGTCTCCTGGTTTTTCCTTTTAAACAAAAATGTTTTACTTTTGATGCAGGGATCATGTTCAGCTAAACTTACTTTAAGAACTTAACTCTTCATAGTTTGTGACTTGAGGAGTAGGGGGGTTTGTCTTGCTTCTTCCCCAACATCATCAGAAAGTGTTGGGAGGAGATAGTTGTTCATAGGTCCTCAACTTGTCTGGACTGCTTCTGTATCATGTTATTGTTCATTTCTGTGTGATGACATAATCTCAAACTTCTGACAATGGTAAGCAAACCTGAGTCATATTTTTGAAAGCTAACTTGGGCACATGTGTGTTTCAGGAAACCCATCCTAACTCAGTTTTGGTTTGAATTTGAGAGTTGTCTTTGGCTTTAGACAGTAAGCACAAAAATGGTGTTTGTTCTTGCTTATTCTTCCTTCTCTTGTAAGAGAAGATTAATGCATTAATGGACATTCTGAATTGATGGCTTTTGATGACATTCATCTTGAATATGAAGACACAGAATGTTTTAGGCTTTGTTTGTCAGGTGGTGGTTGAATTGCTGATTTCAAAATCTACCCAAGACTCCTCTTTCTGGTGTCACTGTAGAAGGATGTCTCTTAAGCAGTGAAGAATTTGACTCTAAATCATCAAGGTTAATTACTTCAGTAGCTCTTAAACAGCTGTTCTTTCTAAGATTGTTTTCAGGCAGTTCTCTTTCTGGTTTCTTTGACATATCCAGTTGCAAGGTATTCCCAAAAAAGACTATGTTTGAAATCAAAAATCATACTTTAATAGTTGTTGAGTCTGTGTTTGTTTATTTGGGGTTTGCTCCTTGCTTGTGCATTTGTTTCTTGTGAAGACTTGTGACCCAAAGGTGTAGATCTATGCAGGATGCTGCCTTCAGAGAATTCTATTTAAATAAGGGAAACTTTAGTTTAAATCATCCTTTTATTTTTTTTAATCCTGTTTTTTACATGTTGGAAAATACTTCGGATTTCATATGCCACAGTGTATCTTTCTGTTTAAATTCTGCTTAATGTTTTTAATGAAAACCTTTTTAGTAAAAAGAAAGGCTTTTGTTTTTTAAAACAAAGTTTCTTTCTGGAAAACTTTAAATAATAACCTTTGAAGACTAATCAGTTCTTAATCATATATATCTTGAAAACTTTTTTCCTAATATAATTATTACAGAAACTTCCCATCAAATCAGGATGAGTGAATTGTATATTAATCTTTTCAATAACCTTAGGATTTGAAAATTTACCTGTATTGGGGGTGCAAGCAGGAAGAGCCACAGAACAAAATTTCATTGCTAAAAATTGCTGTGCAACTGATTAGCTGTATTAAAACGTAAGAAGTTAAAAATAGCCCCAAATTTAAAGCCATAGTATAGCTTTTAATTTTCTTACTAAGACTTGCTTATAGCACAACATTTCTTGACCACAATAGTGATGTAGCTTGTAAGTGTTGAGCAGCTCAGGAAGAATGAGATACATAACATATTCTTAGGTACCTTGTATCTCAAATGAGCTTAAACTGTTTACTCTGTTAATGTTATAATTTGGTACTGAGTTCTTCAGAGTCTTTTAAAATTAATATACTTGAGTATGGAAAAGGTGTAGATCAACACTGAAGGTACAGGGCAACAGAAAAAAGGTTCAAATAAAATAGAATGGCACTAACTGGAATAACCTTATTTATATCTGCGTTTAGTGCTTTTAAAGATAAGTAGAAATTTGGGTTGACTCAAAGGATGTGCTTTGAAGGATGAAGAAAGAACAGGTAGTTTCATTGATAAGGAACATAAAATGGAACCACGTTTCTGGTTTCTCTGTATGACTCTAGTGGCATAAAGTAACTAAGAGGTGATACTGTCACCTTGAAAAAGGGATCCTGTTAGTGGCAGATGTTTTCCTGTTAGATCTGGATGGACATGATCAAATTAGGGACTGAATATAACTTTAACTGGCTACAAAAATGACTGCATTCCAAAAGAATACTAACTTTCAGAAACTGTCAATACTATCTTGGTTATTGCTTCTGTTCCAGAAATCTGGTTTTCTGCTTACAACTGTATTAGCTTTAACAATAATTACCACCCCCCAAAAAAAAAAAAAAACCAAACCAAACCCCCCAAAAAACCCAAACACCAAAAACCCTCAAACAAAACCAATGAAGAAACCTCTTTTGAAGTATTTATGGAACAGATGTATACTGAAATGCCCGTATGTATCTGAAATACCTGTGTGTATATATATCATTAATTGCAACAACGTGTTAAATTTGGCTTAAAAAGAAACAAAACCATAGTTTTGAAAGTGGATGGTGAAGAAACCCAAGTGCTGCAGAAATGATCTGAGGTTTGGATTATGAGAAGCTTTCAGCACTCCTTGCAGCATAACTCATTCTGTGTATCAGTAATTACCATAAGACTTATGTCCTACCTTTTCAAGCAAAAAAACCCTTCTGCTCTCAATTGTGAGATCAGACATAGAGCTTGCAATTTGCAGTCTAACTCCACAAGGTAGTTTCTGGCTAAAATAAGTCTTTTGAAAGTCTGAGGATTATAACCTAGTAGCAAACTAAAATATTTGAATAATTTGTCACCCTGCTTAATGTCTAATTTGATTTATTTTTTTTTTTTAAATTAAGGCAGTTCCCGTTATGCTTAATCAGATGTTATCTCTGGGAAAATTACCTGTGTTCTGCTTTTCTGAGCGAACTTTGACTTTATTGTTCCACTGTCTTAGGAGCTATTAAATTTTCTGTGCTTCTGTACCTCAGCAGACAGTAACACTTGAGTCTTTGGATTTAAGTTGATTGGAGGGGGGAGGCACAACAGTAATGCTGTTTCAAAACTGTGTTTTGGAGGTTTTAGTATATCAGTTATGTATGACTTTCAAGCATGAGATGATGATGATTAACTCTTCCTATATAGGTCTGAAATCACCAGAAGAACCACTGGTGTATTTACCGCCAAAGGATGCCTTTCCTAATGACCCCCGGGTAATAAATAGACAGAGAAGTTCTGATTATCAGTTTCCATACTCTCCATTTTCAGACACACAAAAGGGGACAGCAGAAGATGGACTTTATACAAGACAAGTGGAGAAACTTGAAGATCAGTGTGGGCTAGCAGATCACCCTTTTACAACTAAGCATTCCATTAGTGCAATAATAGAGACTACACTATTAGAAGAATATAATCTCTTTGCAAGAAAGATTCAGGAAATTCTGCAGCAAAAGAATATTTCTTATGTTAGTGGTATGTCCACACCAGTCTTCTCTGCCCGAGAGAGGATAATGAGACTTTCTGAATACATATGTTTACAGGCATCAGAGATTTCTGTCCAAGAATATATAGAGACACTGAGTGAAAAGTTGAATAGTGTTATTTCGTCCTCTTCGTGCATTAGGCATACTCCACCAATTTATTCCAGTCCTGAATCAGCAGAAGTGGTTAGTAACGCTGTGCTGAATCCTCCACCTGACCTGTTACCTGTTTGCAAGGACTCTGACACGGCATTGTTATCAGAGCCATTGTGTAATAACGTGGTGGAAGATCTGGATTCTAACGAGCAGCGTTTGTCAAGCTTACCCTTAGTGAAGGAGGAAATAGCTCATGTGAATGCTAAAGCAGAGGATATGCTGACATCTGATCAGACCTCTTCCAGTGGTGATCTGATGGAGCCACCAGAAAAGACACAGAAATCCCCAGAGAACTTAAACGTTTCAACCCAACCAGCCCTTTCTGATTTAATAAGCCAGTTAAAACCTGAAGTATTTAACAGTTTGGTCAAAATTATTAAAGATGTGCAGAAAAACACTGTGAAATTTTATATTCATGAAGAGGAGGAAAGCATTCTGTGCAAAGAAATCAAGGTAAATATGTTCCAGTTCGACCTCTCTTTAGTTTTGAAATAGAGTGCTTTTCAAATCAGAATGTATAAAACTGGACTTGCAAACATAAGGTAGTCTGAAATTTGTTTCAAAAAATGTTGAATTGTGAAAGTAGGCTGTCCTGTTCCACTTTTTGGTTGGGGTTCTGAGGTAGTCTTGCTTATATTTAGCTTTTACGTAAGTTGTCCTCTTACAGTGGGAAAGTGGAACAGGCTGTAGTTTGGTTCTTTCTGAAAATACTGCCTGGGGGGGTAGCCTTACAGAAAGAAGATAACAAGGGCAAAAATGTGATAGCTTACCATTTTAGAAAGAATATTTGGAAAGTCTATGTGTGTGGTTTGGGTTTTTTCCCTTTCCCTCCAGTGAATAGTACAGGTAACTTTTGGACATTACTCTTCTTCTGTATCTAAATGTAGAAGACGAAAGTTGGAAGTGAAGTAATAAAAACTTCTGGCTTTACTTGAAAACTCATGCAGTTTTGATAGACTGTCACTTGGCCATTTACGTGCAATTCTGTAAGAATGACTGACTTGCTGAAACAGCCTATTTCTGTGTTGCTACATCCTTCCAATTTATGTGTCGAAAAGATGAGGAAACCAGTCCCTCTGAGATTCATTGGAGTGGAAAACTTATTTAACGTGGTCATTGTGTGGGGATTGTTTTGGCCAAACTACCTATTCACTACTTCTTCACCATCTTCTCTTTCTGTGGTGTTAGGAATATCTTACAAAGTTAGGTAATACAGAGTGCCATCCAGAACAGTTCCTTAAAAGAAGAGCTGCTTTAGATAAACTGTTGATAATTATTCAAAATGAAGACATCGCCAACCTCATCCATAAGGTATTTGCATAAGTAAATGTATACTATAGAAAGCTACTGTTAAAAACCTCGTTTTGAGCAAGGCTACTTTCTCGTAGCAACACAGCACTTAAACGATGTCCTATGATCAGTTGCCATTTGAAGAAACAAAAATGGTTGTGGTAAATACCTAGTCTTGTTCCATCAGATACGCATATCTTCTTCCACCTCCGCATATGTGCTAATGCGTATTTATTCTTAGCAGCTGTAAAGTTGTACAGAGGCCTGAGTAGTTCTGCTTCTAGTTCTGTGATGCTCTAATGGCAAGTGGAGGCAGCTGTCGGATTACCTTAAGTATTCCTGACAGCTGTGGCTTATGAACCTCTGCTGGACAGAAAGTAAAATCATTTGAAGTGCTCAACTTCCATTGTCTTGCTCCTATAATGTTTTTGAGAGAGCACCTCCCAAGGCAAGAAAAAAAAAAAGTAACTCTTTGCAAATGTGTTTTGAAGGTTGATATTTGGTATTAGTAAGTAGGAAAGTTATCTTTTTTTTTTTTTTAATGATCTTTAGTATACATCTCTGATATATAACATTTTTAAACAGATACCTGGCTTAGTAACTTTGAAGAGGCTTTCTTGTGTCAGCTTTGCGGGTGTCGATAGTTTGGATGATGTGAAAAATCACACTTACAATGAATTATTTGTGTCTGGTGGTTTTGTTGTGTCAGATGAATCTGTCCTTAATCCAGAGTCCATCACTACAGGTAAGTGTGATGCTTTCTGAAACTTTAAAACACAGACCAAAAAAAGCCAAACATTTTAGTATATGAGAGAAACGCCATACTTATCACAGTGAAGAATCAAGTCTTCTAATTTTAAAGTCTTCTATCTAATTTTTGTGAGGTTTCTTTGAGAACTTCACCTAATTCAGTCTCTTTCTTGCCTCAGTAGCCTTTTTGGAGAACATGTTTCTGGGGAACATGTGAACTTGGAGATTTTGTCTTTCTAAGTTTGTGTTTGGTTGTGTAGTTATATACATGGAACCTTTTATTCCTTGCTACTCAATCCACAAATATGCTAGGAAAAAAATATTGCAAAACTACATTTTTTTCACTTTTTCTTTATTTGAAATTGAATAGTTAACGAAGTTACCAGTTTTTAACATGGATATTTTAGCAAGGCAGACCATGTCTGAATGAATTCAGGTTTTATATAAGCAGATAGCACTGTTAGGCATCTGACCTACAAAAAAAGTTCAGTTTTGGAATAGTGTTGTTGGCTAATCTGCTATGAAGAAAACCTAAAGTACTAAGCTAATGTTCATAGTTGTGTAACTATATTTTGAAAACTGAAAGAAGCTTTTTGCATATACTGAAGCAGTATTTTCAGTTTGCATACCACTTAACTTCTATTCAATATCTCCAAAACAGATAAACTAAAACAGTTCTTAAAGTTTCTGGAGGATCTCAATACCCCAGATGGGAAATGGCAGTGGAAAGTCCACTGTAAAATACAAAAAAAACTTAAAGAGCTGGGGAGGTAAGTAGTGTTTTTCAAATGGCAGTTGTTAAAACACTTCAGCTTTAATTATGCTCTCCAAAACCCTATTAAGTAGAACTTAACTCTTATGTTTGTCTTTTGACTTACTTGATTTAAGGTCAGTCTAAATATTAAAATTATCTTTCTAATAGTGTTTTTTTCCCCCCCATTATAGAATGAATGGTAATGCCCTGAGTCTGCTGACCCTTCTGAATACCTATCAAAAGAAGCACTTGGTTGAGATTCTGTCTTACCATAATTGTGATTCTCAAACTCGAAATGCTCCAGAATTAGACTGTCTTATCAGGCTTCAGGCTCAAAACATACAGCAGAGACATGTTGTTTTCTTAACAGGTAGAAACGAAATTTATGGGGTTGGTTTTGGTTTTTTTTTTTTTTTTTTTCTCCCTTTGCTCCCTCTTCTGGTAATAGGTGCTAAATATTAATACAAAATCTCCTTTTACATACTTAGAAAAGAATCTCAAAACACTTTCAAATTATGTTGATAATGGAATAGTGGTTGCTACTGTCGATGACTTCATGCAAAACTTTAAAAGTCTCGTTGGGTATCACAACTCGGTTACTGAAGAAAACAGCCTTCCTCCCTCTGATGCTCACGAAAGACAATCAGGTAATATTAAACACACTTATACTTTCTTTAGCTAATTAGGTGTGTGGGGTGGAGGTCCTTGAAATAGTGTGCCTTTGCTCTTGTAAAGGAACACTACAGATGGCAAGGAAAACCCAACTCTCAAGCTACTCTTTCTCTGTTTTAAATGATGGGGGAAAAGCAGCTGGGATGGAGCACCAAAGGAGATCCTAAGTGCAGATTTATAGGCTAGCGTGGTATTTGAGAAATTAGATATATGCCAAAGTGGTGTAACCATCTGTTTTCAGGAAAAGGATAAACTTAATGGTAGCTTTTAGATAACCATAACAAAAGGACTGAGATGTCAGTAATTGTACTCCTTCAATTGTCTGATCAAATGCTCACCTACTGTATGACTTTAGATGCTGTTTTGACATTAACCCCTTTGGAGCTGGGGGTTGGGATTTCCCAACACTAAACATGAACACAATGCGCAGAAGCTTTTAGCAGCGGAATAACTGGACACTCACACAGAGGGTTAAGTGTGTATGTTGAGTAAGTGAGCAAGAGTGGCAGAAGATCAAGACTTAAGTGATATTGGACTTACAGACCTGAAGCGTAACACTGTGTGAGTAGTGTATAGCTTTTCTAACCAAAGTTTGTATTTCAATAGAATAGGACTTTCTCTTTTTTTTTTTTTTTTTTTTTTTTTAATGTAGTTCTTGTAGAAAACGATGAAAAGGATGAGGAGGACATGTCTCTGGATTCAGGGGATGAAACATCACAAATAGAAATCTGCAATGATGCCTCTGATGCTCATTTGGAAGTTTTGCAGACAGAGGCCAAGGGCTCACATGGAGTAGATGTGAAAGAAAGCTGCTTATCAGTTACAGAGTTATCTCCTGAAGAACAAATCAGTTTGATGGAAAAGACTTCTAAAATTGACTTGGAAGAGATACAGCCCATTACTCCAGTTTCTACAACGTGCACCGCTGAAGGAGAAAAACACAATTCAGTCGAACAAGCTCCTTTCAATAACTTCCAGGTTTACAGCAGACAATTAAACATGTCCCACCAGTTCAGTCACTTTAATGTACTCACTCATCAGACTTTTCTGGGAACAACATACCCAATTTCTTCTGCAAGTCAAAACCAAGAAGGGGGCAATTATTTTCTATCTGCTTACAGTCAGAGCATGGATACAGAAAAGTCATCATCACCAGGTGGTTGGGATATAAATTGTGATTCTTCCAGGCCATATTCAAAACAGAAATAAACCTGTAAGTCTCTTTTTATAAGTTGCTGTGGACTTTTCTGTTTCTAAAATGGTGGATTAACAATTTCTATTTTATTCTGGAACAAAATGTTTCTTGTCCTTTAACTCAAATGTTTTCTTGTCTTATTTAAATCCTGATGACCTGTACCTGTTGGAAATCTGAAAATTGAAATAAATATATATATTTTTTAACATTTACTGTACTTGAATTATCTTGTTTGTTGGCACTTTTAAGTTTCTACATTTGTATTTGAGATGTACCTGGGCTTCAGTTTGAGGTCTGTTTTAATGTAAAACTGAATGTTTGCCTAAAATGTGTGAAACAGCAAGGTTTTTTTACTGTAAGAGTATCCAAATCACTTTTCTTTACAGAAATATCAAAACTTATGTATTTATTTGACATTTGACACAAATTTTGTACAAATGTTTTTACATAGCTCTAAGGCAGTGTAGTTATTTTACTGACTGGATTTTGGCTAAATACCTCAATTAGAGTAACCAATGGTGCGGTTCCATTACAAAAATAAAATAAACTCTTAATGCACAAGGGACTTGCTAACACATTGCATTGTCTGTGGTTTTTATATTGTTTTCAAAGTATGTGAGAAACGTACCCAAACTTCATCTCATAAATAGCAATTATCTTTACCTCTAATTTTGCTACTCCATGCTTATTACAGCACTATCAGAGTGATCTTACAACGTCTATCTTGCCATTGTAATTACTGTAACAAGAGAAGGACAAACCTGGTTTTAGTGATGGTGGTAGTTCAATTTGCATTAGAAAAACCTTCTCACTTCAGTGTAATGATTACTGGTGCTTGTGGTTTTGTTGGGTGTGTGTTTTGGTTTTTTGTTGTGTGTGTGGTTTTTTTTTTTTAAACCTAGCATTGTCACAAGTACAGAGTTTTGTCTGTTTCTTAATCTCATCCTTTTTAATTTCACATCTGCTGAGTTATATTTTTCCCCAGCGATTGTCTCCTAATCGGCTCATTTTGTACATCATCTTTTGACTCGGGCTTCTGGAAAACAGCAACTGACAGTAAATAGCTGTGGAGCCTCAAGCCTACCCCTGTCACTACGCAGCCGGTTTTCCATATACTCTTGACTCATATGGTTACTGCTCTTTAAGTTGTCCAGTTGATACAAAAATTTGCGGATACTATTCTTCAAAGTCCGAACCTCTCCATAGGAGGAAACGGAGTATTCGGTAAGTTCCAGAAATAAAACTCAATAGCAACAAAGTTACTATTAAGCAGGCATCCTCTATTGCAGCGCTGGGGATCGTTCCACCATGAGTGCTCCAATGATTTGGCAAACTTCCAAAGATTATATACTATAAAGTCGTACATATTCACAGGATTTCTGAGAATTCATACACATAAACATGAGATTTCCTGGAACTTATTAACATATGCAAATGTCCAATCCGCAGGCATGGTCGTCCTCTTTGGTGGTCTGCCGGGGGGGGGGTCCTCCTCACTTGTCCACTGGTTGAACTTTGGGCCCCCTTTGTTCATACATGGTCACTGAATTAGCTCATCAGGCCTTTGGCCTTGGAATGTTACGAAACCAGTTCCTTGAGTGCTCATCTTGGCATAGGTGTCCTGAGTCTATGTTATCAGGGCTTTAGTAAGCCTAACGAGCTTAAGATCTGTTTTAATTGTGTCAGAGAAGGTGTCACATTCTTTGAAATATCTGTCCTATTTATCGACTCTGCTTCTGCAAATAACTAAAACTATCTGAGTCAGGTATTGTCAGAGGTTTAGCCCTTTCACAGTCATGGGATTGGGTTGTGGTGTGGTGGGGTGTGGTGTGGTGTGTGGTGGTTTTTTTTTTTTCCTGTTTGTAATTTGATTTTAGTGCTTTTACGTAGGATATGCGGTTTAGTACCAGATGACAGTGTTTGAAACCGTAGGACTCCAAACTCACAAGATATTACTGGGTTAAAAAAAGGTAGCTTTTGAAAAAAAGAACAAACCAACCCCACAGACAGTTGAATGTCTTTCCTTCTATTAACAGTTATTTGTTTAGATTAAGAAAACCAGTACTAGACTACTGTAGCAGTTGTTACCCTCTCTCCCATGAAACATGGCAAATAAATATTTTTTGTAAAAAAAAAAAAAAAAAAAAAAAAACAAACCAAAAAAACCACCCCCACACCCCACTCCTATCAATAAATTTTAATAGATTCTGTGAAGAACTCTTCTACCACCTCCACCATCACGTGCAGAGGCTCACCTATTGCATGACTTTTGGTATGCACATGCAAGAGGGCACCTTTGCTCCCTTCACTGCTACCTTCAGGTGCAGGTTACACCTAAGAGCAGCAGCTGCTGGGCGGGATCTCTGGAGGTTCTGTGGGATTCAGCATGTGATACCACCAAACAACCAACATGGATTCAGGCTATGCCTCTTCTGCAGAGATCTAGAAGAGAATCGGTTTTAGCCTAGATTATCCTATCTTTTGGAGACTAAAAGTAAATGCATTGAAAGTAAACATTTAATTCTGAGCGGAAGGGTTGAATACTGAGCTGTTCAGACTTTGTGTATAAGACAATGTCCTTAAAGTGAGTTCTACTGCCTTAGGGCCCAGCCCACTATCAAGTTAAGTGCTGCTATCCTGTTCTAATTGGGGGTGGGGTGGGTGTTTATATGTGTTTATAGTCAGCACTTCTGTGGTCTTAAAACCTGGGATCACTTGAGTTAATATACATTGTCAAAACCTAAAAGCTGTCCAAATACTTAAGTACAAGCAGTTTCATATCGTTAAAAATACCAATAAAGTCTACCCAAGCCATTCAGCATACATCTTCATCTTTTTATTTATCAAAATGCATACACTGCATTCTACAAAACCCCATGTAACATTTTTATACAGTGTTTTGGTGGTTTATATTAAAGGGCTACATATCTTCAGGTAGCATGAAGACCAGTCTAAACAGACAGACCATCATTCGTTTAATGTATCTTCAATATGAAAAGCGACATGACCCTGTAATCTATCAAAATTCACATAATTTAATTCTTTCATTAAAAAAGAGCTGGTTCATAATTAATTACAGTAGCAAACAAAGTGCTGTGCCTTTACATTTTAAGAATTCAGAACATTCATATCTATCTCTCTCAAAATGGCGGAAAAAAGTTCTCTTCTTGAGCTGTGGTGGGAATCAGAGCAGTCTCCAATTCCTTCTGCTTCTGCAGGAGGCCCTGAAATAAATCGAATATAAATGTGAATGTTCCGTCCTCCTCATGCAGCCTGAACGAATAACGTGTCACTGTTTCATATTTTAAAACAATTACTTGTTAAGGCTCAACACTTTTTAAATATGCAACTTTAAAAAAAAAAACAAAGCAGTACAACATAATACATTCAGTAGCGACGCAACTCAAGATTTCCTGTCTTCTGCAAAAAACAAACTGTGACTGAGGGGGAAGCCATTCCAGTTTCCAGGGATGACTGTGCAGAGCAAAAAGGACTTTTCCATTGTATTAAATTTAACTCGCTCACTCTGTGCATTGGCACTACATTTGTGGTATTCTAGTATACTCTTGTATGAGGCTAAACCCAAAACCTTGATGGGTACCAGCTTTTAGTCTTAACATAGGTTATAGTCTCAGATAAAGGACAGCATTACCATTTGAACTAGAACAGTGTCAGATGCTTGAGGCTTAAATGGTAAAAGTTCCTGCTTTGTTAATGGCTCTGGCAAGTACTAGACAATGCAGAAAACCTGTAATAAAGAACTCCTGGGAGTGTATCCTTGGCTATGTGAGAAGTAATACTATAGAGCTATGGCAGGTACAACCATAAATCTGAAGTAAGTCTTTGTACTGTAATTAATAGGATTGTATGTATTGATACAGCTGGCCCCTTGGTCTCTACCCATTTTAGACCTGTCAGAAGTAATGTGGTATCAAGGAAGTTTGTTTACACACACAGAGACACAAAAAAATAGGAAAAGTTTCTATGGTATTTTTTCCTCAGAGTTACAAGACCTTTCTCAAAGCTAAGGGTTGCAGGCTGCTGGCGTAGCCCAGTATAGCCCTGATGCAAGCCAGCAGGTACAACAATTTAGGTATTCCTGGTGGCACAGAAGCGGGGAGGGCATGCAGAACTGGCTTCAGCCTGTTAGACTTCACTTTGCATCCTTCCAGAAGCAGCAGCTGCCTACTTTCACTCACTTTTTGTTATCCAAAACTGATGCTGCTATAGAGTGTCCACTGTAAAGCCCTACCCTATCTATAGCTTTTTTTGGTTAATAGATTGCTAATGAAAATTGTCCAGGAACAGGACACAAGGTTGACTAAGTCAACCATGACGAGTTACTAAAGATCTGCCAAGAAGGAAAGTAGGAGAAAGGTAATTTTGGCAGGGGGAGATCGCAACCACGGACTCAATTGACAACTAGAGAGACTACCCCCCCACGCTCTCCTAGAGCATTCGTAGTAAGTTAAAATTGCACCTTTAAATTTAAGCGAAGAAGATAAGAACCAGTAAGAGACAAGAATGCGTAGCTAATGTAATGATTATGTAGATAGGTGTGGTGTGTTAATTGTATAAAAGTTAGAGAAAACTTTGGTAGGTGTGTTAGCTTTGTGGAATTACCACCTAGCACCCAAACTTGCACAACTTTGAGAAAACAACAATATCGCGTCTCAGAGTTGCTGTTGTGTAACAAACGCAATGACAGAATTGCCCTTCCTTTGGCAGAGGAAGGCCCTCATCTGCCCTGTGTTTTCACTAGTCTCTGCCATGGGTCAGCCAGTTCAGCTTGACTGTTACCAAAACAGCCTGACTGTATTTATCTAGCACCCTAGTTGGGTTATAATTTTAAAAACCAACTAGATTATCTTCTGAAATAGAAAAAGTAAATTCTGCTCTTTGTCTAAATTGTATTTCATACAAAATATTGCATTACTCTTCCTTTCTTAGTGAAATAACTGATGCTAAACAGGTGTCATTTGTAGGAATATACAATACTTAGATGTAAAAGATAGACCAAAGTTCAGCAGTTCCTAAATGTGTTCTGCAGCTGCTAGGCTATTTAAAAAAGAACTCTGCACGTTTTAAGTTAACTCTCTTCCAGAACCAAGGTCCACTGAAAGACTAACCTTAAGATTAGTTTTTAGCCACTGTTAAGACCTGAATATATACTATGCATCAAAAATGTCCCTAAGCTCCTGTCTCGTAAGTTTGCCAACATGGATATTATCACCTTGAATGTTAAATATCCATGGCTTCTGTTCACCTCAGCAAGCACAGGGATCAAATTGTGTTTTGAAGCTGGCTTCATTCTTAACCAAAATACCACTGGCAAATGAAGCCTGAGTACAAAATACTTAACAGCTGTAGATCTTTAACAAAAAGGTTAACGAGCCTTGGGGAAGACCAGATCCAGTCAAACCTATTTGGAAGCCATTAGAAACTGGCAACCTTTCAAGTGTTCTTGGGTCACAACTTTTCTTAATGACTTGGGGAGAGCCATGACCCTTCATTTGCATCAGGGATTTACCTCCTACTGAAGCATGATGTAAGCATGGCAGAACTTCTGTCCTTCTAAAGCACAGCAGGTAAATAATAGTGTTAACTACTGGTAGTTTTGTTGTACTTAAGTCTGTCAGATTTTTTTTCCTTTATTTTCATCATTTATGCAATTTTTCTCCCTTAAGGCAAAGAAAAATAAGTAGTGCTGCTAGCAATAAAGTCCTTTTAGTATGGAGCCATTCAAAAACAAGGGAAGATACCAATACATGTTTATCTTTAGTGTTCTTCAAGAAAAAAATGCAAACCAAAAAGTAAATTTTTTTTTTTGTCTTGTAGTTCCCTGTCAGGCCATTTAGAAGCATAAAATGAAACTGTTTGTGTGATTGTCCAGTCCTGCAGCTTGAATCTGCTATGGGACGCACCTTGTTGCCCACAGGTGGAGTATCAAATTCACTCATGTTTTAATAATTAGATGCCTGACAGTATTTTTCCTGCTACTCTTACTCCGATCAGGAAAATAAGTAACTTCACAGTTACTAGCTGTAAAGGCTTTTGTCTCAGGAGCTCTTGTGTGTGTAGTATTAAACTAAATTTCATTTTATATTCACTTACTAAATCTGGCCGACTGACAAATCCTGAATTTTACTTTCACATGTTAACAAAAGAATAGCTATCTTGGAAGGATGTTGTAAGTGTTCACACTTCAAATTTGCAAATTACAGTATTCTTCCAGGACCAACACATGACTACCACCCCACTAACTCTTCTGCACCAACCACACTGCTCTGTCATGCCTGGCTTACCCATGAAATGCAGAAGTGAAATTTCATTAACAAGGGTTCTAGTGTTTTGTTAAAATATTATTCTTTCTCCCCTTGAAATTGAAACATTCTTATAAGCAACCCTAAGTATCAAAACCTGGAGACTAAATAAAGCCATTCCTCTTGGTTTCAAGTTTTCTCAGGTACTCCAGTGTTTCACAGCTAGTCTAAGGACTAAGCAGTCCATAGTCTCTCCCTAAGGACAGTCCAAAGGTGAAAGGAGTGCATGAAATGCAAAATTAGTAAGATGGAACAAAAGTAGAAGACAGGGCCCAAAATTTACCTCATATGATGGAGAAATTAATTAAAGGCTAATATTTACAACTATGTAATAGTTTGCAGTCTTCATTTTGACTTTAGTACATACATACATATATGTTTATCCAATAAATTTTTGCTTACCTGGCGTAATTCTGACAAACCTTTGAGAATTGCTTGTTGTCTCTCTCTGATTTTAACTACATCAGGATTTAGAAGAGGATCTCTAACGTGATCAGAGCTAAAAATCTGTCGTGGCGTTTGGTAAGAATCTAAAAGTAAATGTATATCAAATCAGTTAACAATACTCTTTATCAGTTTTGTTTTAATCTTGAAGCAGTAGATTTTCACAGCTTGTGAAAATCAGGTTTTGGTTGCTATTAGATTACAATTGCTATTTTTAAGTCAAACAACACTTAAGATTCCTAAACCCAAATCTACATACAATGATACCAGAGAAGTGCAATCATACTTAATTAAACAGACAAAAAAGACAGATAAAAGAATAAGAAATTTTGTTGCTTTTTTGATTTTTTTAAACTTTTGAGGGGTGGGGGGTTAATACAGAGTATCATTTGGTTGCATAGGCTTTCTGTAAAGTGCTGTGATACACATGGACTACTGCAAAATTCAGTAAAAAAAAAATACCAAATTGAGTAAATTGTAGCACTTCGAACTAAATCACTGTAACATTTTTTCTCTTCTACATGAATCAGTTCACAATACATTTCAGTACCATTAAACTGTCGATACTGTGGGTCATGTGTTGAAGGTCTAGTCACTGGTGCATCTGGATCAAGATGATATACTTCATTTGTTCGAACATACGGAATAAATTGTGAAGAGGGAGGTCTTCCAGCTTCTGTAACAGGAGGAGGGGAGCTCCTCTGCTGTGTACCTGTCTTGATATTTTTCTCTCTTCTACTATTGTTGTTATGCACCAGGAAATTAGAAGCATGTATCTGTTTTTGTTGCACTTGGTGTAATCTGTTCTTAACTGCTGGAACAGGTGGCGATTCAGATCTGTATGAAACAATTTCAGTTAAAAAAAATCCAAACAATACTTAAGTAATGTGATTAACTTTCTCAAACAGTAGAGACAAAAAATCCTCAGAGGACTGGACTTTTGCACATTTACTGTGCTTTTATACCTGCAGTTTGGTCTTGTGTATTTTTAATAGCAGAGAAAGGCATCTAAATTATTTTTTAAAAAATTAAAAATCAGGAAAGAAAAGCACGTATATTTCACTATTAATGTTTGTATACATTTCATTAATGCAGAGTATTGACGTACCTTTCTCCATTCAAATGATTCTTATGTAATTGTTTATCCTAGGAGAAAACCAAGAAAGTCAAAAGTAAAATAAAAAGCTCCACAATTTTTATATTAAAAGCTTTCATTTTTCAAGACAAGTTTGTTATGAAATACGAAAAGAACTGTTTGACCTGGGTTCAGGACAAAGGTATTTATCAAAGAGTTGCATTAAAGAGACTTATAGTGTCTATGAACTATATTAAACAAATTACAGGAGGATTTGCTCCAATTTTCTGTGTCTTCGGCAGCTCTAAGCACTATCAAAAATACTGTATTTTCCAATGACCTTGGAAAGCTGCATTTATAAACCTGAAAGATTCAGCCCAAGACAATGATTATTAAAGGAAAGGTTGTGTTTCTAGATACAGTCAGTAGAAGTTTTCTATTTAAATGAAAAATATTAACGTATGCCATGCTTCTTATGGTATCAGATAATGCTTATTTATCTTAAAAATCTGCTTAAAATTCATTGCCCCATTTCTCAGGTACAAAATTCTTGAACATTTACCTTTCAATACCGTAAGCACAAAACTTAGATTTACCAGTAAGCTCAAATAAACCAACAAACTCAGTTTAACAAATTAATAAATCTTTAAAGATACTTTTTAACATCCACAGCTTCTAAAGTACGTGTATGGAGCCACAGCAGACAAATGGCTAAACAGAAGTGAAGTGGCTACCTTTTCTACACCAGATTTTTTCTATTGGAAGGTGTGAGAAAGTGAGGTGTTTATGCATACACATGCATATATATATATACACATACAGAGAGTGAGCAAGCAAGGGGGGGAGGGGAAGAGAGAAGGCATGAACATATTTGGTAGTATTTTCTTTAAACGAATTTTTTTTTCCCCCATCCACAAGCTATACAGATATATGCTTACTGCAAATGGAGAAGAAATTACTCCTCTAAGAAGGATGCATTTTTATGACAACAGAGTACATCCTCAGTAATCCATATTCTTTGCAGAAATAAAGATTGTTTTCTTGAACAGGTACTCCTATACCTTAACCATCACCACAACATAATGACTGGACCAAAAAGAGCAAGTCAGTGATGTCATTCTATCCTGCACACTGCTTTCAATCAAGCTCCTTGTTTACATAATGAATTGATGATAATGAATAAATGAAAGAGAATAAACACTTTGGCAGACTGAAATAACACTAAAAGCTAAGTCACAAAATCTGAATATATTCTGATCATGAAGAATGAAACAATGCTGTAATACCATTCTTTACACAAAGGGTAGTAATAGGAAAATTGTCAATGCTTGAGTTACATAGCTGCATTCACATCCAGGCAAAACTGTGTGAAACAAGTCTTAAAAATACACACCATTGTTGTTAAAGACCAAACAGTTACCTTTCTGACTCTATGTCCCTTATTCTTCATATTTATTTCTTCGTGAGGTGAAGGAGACCTGTCTGAATAACCACCTTTTTTTGGGCAGAGATTCCCAGGGGTATTTCTTTCTACCAGCTGAAGCAGCTCCATTTGTCGTCTTACTCTGTTTTCTTCCCTTTGTTTTTGTAGCTGTTTAGGGTATCTTTCTGATGCTGGAATGTATCTTTTCCCAGGCTTGTTTATGTTCCAGTCAGGTCTTTTGCTGTATTTTTCTGAAGGCTTAATGTGTCTTTCTTTTCTGGCATATTGTTCGTATAGATCACTGTAAATGCCACCATTCTCTTTTCCTGAAATTTTATTTTTATCTATATACTCTACTTCCTTCTGGTATTTCTTGCTGCTAGAGGTTTCTTTATATTCTATGGAAATATCAGGCGATGTGCAACACACAGTTCTTTCCTCAGCTGACTCAGTGTATGCTGAAGTATTAAAGTCATCTAAAAAAAAAAAAAAAATTAACTCCAAGTCTAAGCTATTCAAATGACTTGTTTGACTTTTGTATGTGTATCAATCTACCATTACTGATTTTATTCAAAAATTGGTTGTTACCATTTTATAATGTTTTTTATTCTTTTTGATGCGGAAGATAGATAGGACTAGTAGAAGCAAACTCAGTAAGGAGGGGAAAAAAAGATTGGACAACAAAATTAAGTCACTGTAAAGCAAAATAATTTATGTAAAATGAAACTATTATTATTTTAAAATGTAGAATTCTATTTCTGTCATGGTACCCAATGGTAAAGAGCAAAACACAGCTTCTGTTTAGTCTTTCCAGTATGCTGATGGTTTGGTCATATTCACAGTGCTACTGGGAATAACTCACTTTCCTAATCCTTGTCTTCCAATGGAAGTATTTTGTTCAATTTTTCAATTACTCACAATCCAGCTTCTTTCTTTACTAAGGAGCATACACAAAACCATTATTTAATTTGTAAACTCTCCAAATTCATGTAAAATTTCTACCAGCGCTGTCAAAACCAAAAATATTAATTGTTACTTAAGCAAATAGAAATAAAATAAAGCTTCTACTTCACAAGTGATAAGAAGCTAATAAATTTCTAAATACAAGGCATAAAGTGACTGTAAGTTTCCACTGAATCTGCTCATTCACACCTCATCTCCAACATTAATAGATGCAGACCAAGTTTGATCTGGGTTTTTTAATGGTGTGATACAAAAATCAAGATAAAGACTGGAAAGTAGTCTATCTAGATGGACCTGCAATTGCATCTGGGTATTTATTAAGAATTGTAGAAAGCTCTTCTAAACATTTGAATGTAAGCTCTCATTTTCTAATAAATCTAGTTTTCTAATTCCAGAATTATTGATAATGTTCCTACCAGTATTTTCAAGGATTCATTAGGAGCCCAGCCCTGCTCGATAACCAAACCACGTTATGTAAACCTGTGAACATTCACACTGAAGACTACTACAAATATATGTTTAAATACATTAATAAATTTAGTCCTACATGGCTTGTGACCATGACTCTAAGTCAACGCTGTATTTCAGACTGGGTGATTTGAATCTGTAACTGGTAAGTATCAAATATACAGACATATAATTTATTTAGAAGAATACAGTGATATATTGTAATATTCCAACATGCCTGTGTCTATCCAAGTATTTCTTTCTAGTTTTATTCCTTTCTGAATGACACTGATTTGGCCCTATAGCTCAGTTTCACCAATATGCTGTTCTACTGTCCCTCTTAAGTAGGCATCAATTACTTCCTCCATCAGAGTAATTAAATTTAACGGCTGCATACCTGTCTGTACAGCAGTGTCTTTCCGAGGAGAAGTCTGCTGATCAATGTGGCTCTTAATGTCATCAGAAAAATTGTGACTTTGATGTGAAAGGTCAGTATTACAATTTTCAAATTCTGTATCACATAGAAAGAAGTAAGTAAAATTGTTCAATTTAGTAACATATGTTCCAGTTAAACCATGCTATCAAGTTATGACACTATTGTGGTTTAGAACTCAAAGCAAGACTGAGAACTATGGTTCAGATCCTAATACCCTCCCTTTTTCACTGCAAATCTATATTGACAGCACATAAGTCTGAATATTCCCTATACAATCCTGACAATATCTTTATATTTCTTCCTTTATGCAATATAGTATTTGAAGCTTACTAAAATACAATATTCTCCATATTAGTTAACACTGATATTTGTTTGGAAGGCTCTTTAAATAAGCTGAAATGAAATTCAGTTTGTGAAGCACAGGAGCAATTTCAGACCCAAATGCAGAAGGGGGAAAGAAAACCAAAACAAAAACCACCACCAACTTGCATGCAAACACCAAAGGAATAGGCAAACTGAATGTGAAAAGACTTGTACTTACCACCACCAAGATTCTTCTGAAGTTTTGAGATGTCATGTCCCTTCTGAGCCAAGTCTCGAATGCGCTGTTCTTGTTTTAATCTCTGTGCTAATTCTTGAGCTTTCTGCATTGTCTGATAAAGCTCATTTGTTTTAAGAGTCACGAGTTCCTTTAAAAAAAGTAAATACATGTGATCATTTATTTGGAGAATAAATAGGATTATTTAATCTCCATATAATCCTCAAGTTTACATATATTCTTGAGTAAAGCCTTTCTTTTTAAAACAAAACTAGTTGAGTAGATGCAATATGTAACAGGTAACTTTTATCCTCAAAGTTATTTGGATATTTATCTCCTTTGTAATAAATTCATCTTTTCTTAAACATAATCTGATTTCAGCCATCTATGACTTCCTAGATCATGTGGTTTAATAAAATAAAAGAAGCCTAAATAAAAAGAATTAAAAAACCCACCTTCCTCCTACTTCCACAGAAAGGAGACAGTAGAAGCCTCCCTAAGAAAGGCAGAACATTCCTAAATATGAGGGTTACAGTTTCCAGGCTCAGCAGGTTAAAGGTGCAGGAGACTGGGCCAAGGAAAATCTCCTTTCCAGACTGCTATTACCATCTCATCCCCGCTTCCTACAGCATTTGCAGGTGGTAAGAAACACAACTGATAGCATAATATGTTTTGAAGGAGCTGAGCTATTACAGAGAAAGATGACTTTCCCTATTTTTTACCAGTTCGTTCTAGCATCTACAGGCAGATGCTATACATTTCTGTCCAGAAAACACTGAGAAATCAGGGATCCATTTTTCTGCACGTTTTAGAGGCGGCTGTGTTTTTGGAATCGCACTGTCTTATGACATCATGGAATTCCGCTACTGTTCCAAATATGAAGCAAACAGTAATAGCTGCTACTGTGCCAAAAGGAAGACTAAAACATCAGACAAGTCTTTTAACCTCCTACAGACTCTTCTGTAACAGGTAAGAATGTATATAAATGCAAAATTTGTACTTACCAAAAGTCAAAATGTTACTTTTGATTTAACTTTTATATGAAAGGAATATGTAAAGCTCAGCAATAGTTACAGAGGAGAAAGCTCTCGAACATGAACAACTTTTAAAATCATTTTTCCAGAATATATTTGGAAAAATCTTTAATCCAGAGTGAAAGCACATCCACTCAGATAAAGTTCATGGTACTGAAGCATCTTAAAAGCATCAAGTTACCAACAACAATAACTGGATCACATACTTGGAGGGGTTTTTTAAATTTAGAATTTGCATTTAAAAATGCATGTTTCTGCATTATCTAAAACTACAATTCCATTTTTGCCAGTTCTTATCCATTTCTCTTCCTTAAAAAGCCCTTGTCCAAAAAAAGAAACCTGCCTTAAACTCATATGGTGTTACGAGTTTATTGACTGAGGAAACAGAATTTGGTTTCAAACATCTAAATTTCAGATAGTTTTAATTTTCAAAATGATGCGGCGACACCATTTTGAAGGTGAAGAACAAGAACCATTTTCCTCAAAATCCAGTATTATTACAGACTATCTGCGCTAAAGAAAATGCAAAACACCACCTCCTTTTGTTTTTGTTTCAGCATATCTTCTTCAAACTGTTTCTGCATTTGTTCTTTTTCTCGTGCTAAGCGCTGTTCTTCCTCTTGTTCTTCCCATTTTCTCTGCTCTTCTTCCAGTTGCTTCTTCTTCCGTTTTTCTTCTACCTGAGCCATTATTGCCTTCTAGTAATATCAGAAAAAAAGGAAAATTAAAAGATCTGACATTAAAGGTATGATAAGCTATATATTCATATACTTCCATACAATGTGTATAACAATTGGATTTGGACCAAATTTAAAAAAAAAAAAAAATCAAGACAATTTCTTTCAAACACTTTTGTTTCTTTTAACTTCTCACAAGAGAGGTAGCTGCCTTCCTTTTTTTTTATGTTTTCAAAAATGCTTTTGTTTTTCTTGTAAAGAAATGGTGATCTGATTTTTACCTTACATACTGAAAGCTAGTATTCCGATCTAGCAGAATAACAGTTTGACCAGAACAGGCTCAGTACATTTATACTAAGGCTTCTTTACACTGTGCTAGAGACATCATCATGCAGATATACATTCAGTTAGTGACACAGAAGTAATGTAAATGACAGTAAAGTAGATAAAAATTTAAAGATTCATGGAGTGGGTACCTGTAAATATCAGTCCTCCTGATGATGGCAGAGTCTGAAGAAAAATGCACACAAACCTACTAGGCTCTAAAGACTGCACTGTACATTTTTTGAGGCAAGAATTCAGTTACAGAAGTGCAATCATCTCTGTACAAACAAAAGAAAACTGTAGAGTCTAACTGAATGAAATACTGTTAAACAACTGTAAACATGTAATCTGAAGCATAAAAGTCAAGTACCTCACTGGATTCTGGTATTAAATCTCATGCTTTATTCATGTGACAACACTACCTTTCATCCTTTCTTCTCATTAAAATAGTGTTAGTAAACCAGAAGTCTACCTGATGCTCCAACTGTTTCTGCCGCCGCCTGTCTCTCTCTTCAATCTGTGCAGGGTCCAGGAGAGCTGTCATTGAACGGAGGAAACTATGAACAAAGAAACATGTAAATGTTTTTAATCATAAGAAAATAATTCTAAAGCCTTTCTTAATTAGAACCAGTTAGATTTCAAGTAATATCTTCATATTGAGGTTATTGCATTGTATTAATTTACAATTGTGAAATTAATTTTACTAAGGAACAAAGTAAGGTTATTTGCAGTAAGTTTTATTAATGAACAATGGAAGCACTTGTGTCTTTCAAAAGTGAAACAACAGGTATTTCTGAAAAAAACCAAAAGCCAAATTAGTAAGATCTAAAGATCAGATTTAAAGAATCTTATTCAATTTTTTTTTTTAATTTCTGAGGAGGTATCAGAAACGTAGTCTGGGAAAGACGATCATCCTTACAAAGCTCACTCACCTGACTTTCTGACTGTGTTCCAAAGCACTGTTTTTAGCAGCTTTTTCTGCATTTCCCACCTTTGACGGCATGAGGTTGCCTAAAGCTGCAGGTGAAAAAGGGTGAATAAAAGTAGTCAATGCCTTAGGGTCAGGTGACAGGCAAAGACTTTCAGGCTGCTTTTCGTACATTCCATTTAAGGGGTGTTGTGCATTAGCATTAAGGTGGTTCTTTAAGGAATCAAAATGCATTGCCCATCTGTCATGCTCTTCAGCCTAAGTAAATAGGAAGCAACAAAAAAATCAGAAACTCACTCAATTACACTGTTTCTATAAAGCATGGTTAACAAAACAGACAATACACATTTAGTAAAACAGGAACATTCGAAAAGCTCTGTTATGGGGCTACAATACAGACAGTAGTTAATTCCCTAAATATGAAAACAGAATTCTCTCTGTTGCTTAAAATGCAAGTCAGATCAGAAATTATACTGCTGATCCATATACTTGGTCAGCAAAAACATATTGCTACTTATATTTTCGGGGTGGGGGGGGGTGGGGGGGGAAGAATTAGAAAGTGAAAAAAATAAATCGAAAAATAAAAAAAATGAGTTAACATGGATTCAGGCTTTTTTTGTACTGCTTTTCCAATTTATATTACCATTCCATTCCATCATTTTTCTAATAATTCTGGGAACTGCTTGATTGAGAGGTCAGTACCCTGTCCACTCTGCCATACTCTCCTCTCCTCTCCTCCTGTTGTGTACATATTCTCTCTCTAGTAACATAGAATCATAGAATGCTTTGGGTTGGAAGGGACCTTGAGAGATCATCGAGCCCACGCCCCCGGCAGTGAGCAGGGATTGAACCTGTGACCTTGGCATTATTAGCACCATGCTCTAACCAACTGAGCTAACCAGGCTGGTCTTGAACAAGTGGCATCTTTTATACTGTCCTACATTTACCCCCTCCATTTTAATTCTGAATAATAACAGAATTAATGTGCTTTGGGCAGAGATATTAATCTCTAACCTCCTATTTTCAGCTAGACAGGCCCATTGTACAATAAGCCTTCTTTCAAAATCTCTTCCACCCGCAGCAGCCACCACTACTATCCTAGCAAAGTACCTAAAACTTTTGTAGAAGTGACACAGGGTTTAACACTCTCTTCTGTACCACCCACGTTTATCTTTTTGGCTCAGTGTTGGCAATTGGGACATTCCAATGTATCACTAATAAAAGATTTTTACTTAAGGGGCCTTTGTTTTTGCTATAGGTACTGAAAAGGTCTTCTCTTCTGACTAAAAGACGAACTGTTTCTCTAGAGGGACTGGAGAATGTCTGCCTCAAAACTTGATTCTGCAGGAAAAAACTTAACATAATCTAATCTAATCTGATCAGCTTTCTGGGAGTCCTTTCCTTAAACAAAAATTCCCTTGTGTCAGACGTGTTTCACACCTATTTTAAAAGAAGCAAGAAAATCATAGTCCAGATAATAAGAATCCAAATAATTCTTCCTCCTGTTCCCTGAGTTTTGTTCCCTTTGAATACTCTGTGATGCAGAAGCAGATCAGAGTAGTTGGAAAATCTACTTTATTCTTATGCAAGTCTATGGTACAATAAGCAGAAGGGTTGAGAGCATAACACAAGACCTGAAAAAAAAATGTTGAAGAAAACGAGATTAAGTGCACATAATTCCTTTCAAAAAAAGGCTGGAAGTGAGATTACCAATAGGTGACTGCAACCATCTTCCCACAGTACAGCTATCAAATTAAAAACCAAGGCAGCTAATGAAGGAACCTTTCATAGCTGTGTTCCCTTCACAGTTACAAAGCTCAATTTGCAAAGGAAATTTGATTCCTTCAACAACTCAGGAAACGAAAAAACTAGTGTTGTGTGTAGGTATGTAACCAACCCTGGTAACAAGGGGTTTTTTTTGAGGGTGGGTAGTAAAGCTCTCTGCTAGTACTACAAACTGTGGAATTAAAAACTAAGTGTTTCTATCTAGGAATTGTGTAATTGCTGTAAATGCTTCACTTGACAGTAAAAACTGTAGCCTTTTAATCCAGAAGGCCACAGACTATGAGCATTCATATCAATCAAGTTTTGGTAACCAAGATTCTCATCCACTAGTAATACAGAAGATTTCATGATGTGAATACATCTCATGCATGGTGAAAGATATAATCCTGGGTTTAAGGCTGCACATGGTAATTTGGAAATCTGGGTTCTAGCAATAGTACAATCTCACTGCACGTTTCTTCACTTCAAACGACAAACAGCCTTTGGAAGAGTGTGTCAGTATCAGGCTGTATAAGAATGCAGAGTATTCCATTGACCTTAAAACTACTAATATAGTAGAAATTGTAACATGTAAAGGAAAGAATTCAGCTTCTATATGAAGAACCTCCAGGGGTAAAAGATATATTAACTAAATTAGCCAACAGTGACAGTATTAAAAGTCCCTTCAGGTGTTCCACCTGCAAAGCAATTGTATTAGCCACAGTTTCCTTCTAGACCCAGCACAAGAGACCTACATTCAACAGCCTGCAAAAACCAAAGGGTAAAAAAGGTAAAGCTATTTTCTTCAATACTTTTTGGAGTACAAGTGTTTAAAAAAGTTTCATAAGAGTATACATGTGTGCACATACATGCATATCAAAAGAATATTTTTAGAAACAGGATTTGAACACCACTGTAACAGACTGCAGTTGTTTACAACTTTCCTTCTCTTTTTCTCATCTCCTTACGTAGTCTATAGAAAATGTCTTTTCACAAAGTGTCTGGCCAGTGTCTCTACACCACCTTCCAAACCCTAGTGCTTTAATAAAATGGTGGGGGGAAAAAAAAAAGTATAGTAATAATACTGTAATATCACACACCAGACAGATGGTAGTCTGTTCTCTGCCACTAAATACTGGAGCAGCTACTGGCTGAATGTTCGATTAGACTGTCCTATGGACTTATGGTGAAAACCTGGCCGTGCTGCAGGTAATTATATCTTTTGTCGCTACTTACTTCATTAGGTCTATGATTTCATCTCTTACTTCTTAGAACAAAAATGGAGAGAAAAACTTCTATTATTCCAAAAAGTCCCTCTAAACCACAGATACCTTTGATAAATTAAGTTTTTCTTCTATTTTTCGTAGCTTAGCTTCTTCCTTCTGTTTGTCCAGCTCTTCAAGCCACTTCCTCTGTTGCTCATGCTTCAAAGCACTAAAAGGTCGTTCCTGCGGCACAACTTCCTGAAACAAGGTAAGTGCTAGTCTTTTCCTTGTACAAAACGTTCAGTAACTTGTCTAGCTACACAGTAAAGACTTGGCAGAAAACTTTGCCTTCAGTTGCTAGGCATAACTGGAATGTTCTCTTGCACAAAAAAATGTAAGTAAGTTTGTAGCTGTAGCAAGTCTCTGAGTGCTCCATAAAAATGCTTCAGTTGTTAAAAAGATGCTAAATAAGCCAGTCTTTGAATACTAGTCTAACTTGAACCATCAGCCTCTCACTCCAAAAAAACTTACTTATATGTATCATGAATAAAAATCCTTTCCTTCTACCTATGGTTCACTGCTCAGTCTGTGTTCCAGGTAGATTCAGCATCATGATCTAATTAGCGGTCATCTGTCCTCAAGTAAATTCTAGATACTATCTTCGGTTCCTGCTTCTTAATGGATATCTGTATTATTTAACAAACTCAGAACTGAGAACTTTCAATGCTACCTGACAAAAGCCACTCTTCAATCGGTGCCTACTAGCAATAACTCCAAAATTACTTCTTGAACCTTCTGCCATCAATATTTTTTTTTAAAGTCTTCTATTTCTCATAGGTTCCCACTTCTCTCTTTCTTTAATGCATACTTAAAAAGCTAAGTAACACTTTGGCTCACACCTCTAGTACTGTTCCTCACATCAGCCTTGAAAATGCTCAGTCTTCAAAGCATTAGTATTTTGATAAACATTCATTCAGACACAATTCTCTAGGCAGAGCAAAAAGGTCTACTGAATTCTCCTGGTTTAAAAGAACTACTGAAGATATACCTCTGTTGTCAATAAATAAGTAAATAAAAAACTGCATGCAATTTAAAATCTTACCCCTAAAACAAATGCTGTGCAATTGACAGCTGCTAAGTCAGAAGAACTGAAATCAGAAGACTGTCCAGCTGGAGCGCTTGAAACATTCAGTGGAACTTTATTAGCCTCTGTGGTTAAAGCAGTTGTACAGACACAGTTTTCCTCAGTGGTAATAACTGAGTCAGCTGGAAACACTGTCTGAAAATAAAGTGACCACTGTTGTTTAAGACTTATTTAGCTCACCTGTTTTATTTGTATTAAATAGCCCTTATCATATAATAAACAAGTAAATTATGCTTCTAGAAGCTGCTATACATTAAAACTTCAACCAAAACTTGTAACTAAGCATTTCATATCCAGTATTTCTTAATTATGTAGATTGAAACAAATTCTTATGGGGCAGAGTGGTAACTTTTCTAGGAATGCTGAATATGCCACAAAAAAAAGCAGCAATTTACAACTCTAACTTCTGTTTAACAGCAATCAATTTTGCTAGAGAAGCAGTCTTATCTGAGTACAATATATTTATCTGACACAGCATTTTCAGAGTGACAGCTGACTTTTAAAAGGGCAGGTTAGAATCAAAGTCAAATTGCTATCCTTATTATCCAAGCAATCAAATATAGGTGAGAGCTCATGAACAATGTAAGTAATTATATAACCAGGAATTACATTTGAGACTATTCCTCAAAACAAAACTGGAAAAGATTTATACCTTTTAGTTAGGAATCAACATGGAAGGACAGGAATGGGTTGTTCATGCTACAAAGATCTTAAATTTGTGAAGCTACAAACTGGAGCGATAGGTAAGTGTGCAACAGGGAGTTGCAGCAGTTCATGCCATGAAAGAGCTCACTGAGATTGGATTCTACTGAATTCATACAGAAAAAAAAATCTTGTATGAATTAAAAGTTGAACAGTTCTGGAACAGTGCTATAGAAACTGTGTGCTCTTTTTGTGTTTATTGATAACCTTACCTGATCTGGGTTAGCTGTTTCCACTTTCTCTTTATGGGCTTTGTTATTGCCAGGTTTTGCCCAGAAATAACCCACCTCTCCCTCCAAAGTTTCTTTCAGTTTCTTCTTCAGTGCTACCTGTTCATCTTCAAAAAACCAAACTCTAGTAAGAGTTCCTAATACAGATCTGTAGCAGGGTTTTTTAAAAAAAAAAAAAACAAACAAAAAACCCCCCTGCAATGCATGGACTACAAGAGTAAGTCGCCATTGACTGACCCATCAGTCTAAACATGACTTTGCTCTTAAGAGGATGGTGGCTGAGTTTCTGCCCAGAGCTGCAGAAGTAATTGGGGAAACTCTGAGAAGACTACAAAACACTGAAGGCTTAACAATGTCCCACGGGAAAAGGGAAAACGAACAGAAATAACCAAGTATGTCAATTCTCTCCATTTTATTATACCCGTCTTAGAATACTGTAATGTTATTAAAACCAATGGAACTACACATGGAAGCTACTGACAATGCAGAATCAAACTCTGAAACCAGATGGTCTACATCCAAGTTGAAAACAAAACAGAACACTCCTGCATATGAATCATAAAAAGCTTAATTTGTCAGAGAGAATTTACTACTGTGTTAAACATTCTGGTGATGGGGCAAGACTGCAAACTGTTTCAAGTTCAAATTGCAATTTGGTATATTCAGTCATGCTTGTAGATTAGGGTCACACTTTTCCCATTAAAAAACAAATCAATTTGTTAATGATAATGGCTATCAACTACTGGCAGAATGTGACAAAATCAGTGGCAAGTAACTCCTAAAGTATGAGGCATAACTGAATATATTTATTTGTGGTAATATTTATTTGGCTAAAAAGCATTTTTACAAGAAGTTATAGATAATCTTTGCATAAAATTTTGAAATTCAAGAATCTTAATCTGTCTTGGAGACTAATATATATAAAACTATATACTTCCCGATTTGTAGCAACTGCACTGATATAAGGAAATTTAAAAGAGCATAAGGAACACAAAGTTTCTTGGCATCCTGAGTGTAATAAATTGATCAAAAATATATTCTGTGTATCATAAGTACCTAATTCCTTCTTCCATTGGGTCCTTCTAAATTCTAGTAAGGCTTTCTCCCCTTCTCTTTCACCCAAGGTACTAAACATGTCAGCAGGTTTCCATGAATCCTTTCTAGAGAAAAGGAGGGGGGAAAAAAATTACCTAAAAAGCTAATCTGTTAATTTTAAAGGTAACTTTTTAATTAGTATTTATAAAGATTCTTACTGTGATTAAGAATTACAGTACAAATATTTATTGGAGATACCATTTTTGTAGACAATAACACAGATCTACATACATAACTTTCTGTCCTGGTTGCGGATATGCTTCTTGTTTCCTGCCTGGATCAGAGTTAGCTTCATCTGGAACAGATGAAACTTCACAAGCTTTTTGGAGCAACACTATAATGTTCTCCTCTGATGCCTCATTAGTAGCTGTGGTAGAATATATAAAAATATATATAAAT